GGAAGACTGTTGCGAATCGCTAGGAGCTACGTTCGACGATCAGCCTGTAGGCACAATTGGGCTAGCGGGAACCTTCTCATTTTTCTTTTCTCATCATCTCGTCACCATGGAGGGAGGAATGATCGTAACCAACGACGACGACTACGCTGACTGCGTACGGATCTTGCGAGCTCATGGATGGTGTAGGAATGTTTCGCAACCAAAGATACGTCTCCCAACGGATATAGATTCAAGATTCCTGTTCCTTGATTGGGGGTTCAACGTTAGACCGATGGAAATTCAAGGAGCCTGTGGCGAGATACAGCTGAAGCGTCAAGAAGCGTACAGAAGCAACAGAATCGAGAAGTTTGAAATTTTGCGGAAGGCTCTGTCGATCTATCCTGAAATTCAGTTGCCCAAGGTCTTGCCTAAAGGCAGACCATGTTGGATGTTCGTGCCTTTGATCGTTAAGGAAAATCCTAGGTTTACCAAAAAACAACTGGTGGCCTTTTTAGAGAATGAGGGAGTTGAAACTCGCCCTGTCATCGTCGGCGATTTTAGTCAACAGCCTGCAGCCGAATTTTATCCGTTTTTGACAGCCAAAAGCCATCCTGGAGTTCAGTATGTCCATAATAACGGCTTCACCGTTGGTCTTCATCCTGCAATGGACGTCAAGGACCAGTCAGTGGATCACTTTCATGACGTCAACAAGTTGGTGGCCGTCTTCCACAAGTTCTTTCAAAGCGCTATTTGAAATAGAGAGAGAAAAATTGACACGGAATAAATTCTCACCAGCTTCGTTCTGGCTATTGTTTCACAAATTATGACAGCTTTGATCATAATCCATGTTATATAGGGTATGTGATTGCTCGCATTCAATTAATAAATATACACTGGATTTGTGATTTGGTAAATAAACACTTAAGTGCCTCTGTAGCTGAATGAAAAGTTTGGAAGCAGCCTCAGTGGAGATGTATCAGGTGTGGTTGGATGATACACAATATCTTCTGCACAAAATATGATAATTTATTATTTATTTGCAACTGCTAACTGTTTTCCTTCGATCCTGATGAAGAACAGTTCAATTTGACTAAAACGTTCAACAACTGACTTTGCCGAGGACAGGCAGCCAGACAGACAGACAGACAGACAGAACAGAATCAAAGAAAATAATACTCTGATATAACTTAACCATCTCCTCTTTTCTCATGGTGTCCAACCGAACTTGGCGAGGCATTTTTGAGGCGAAAATGG